AATGTAAAACAGTATGAATTGTTTCCTGCTTGCACTTGGATTATATGCAAGCAAATTACTCTAGATACACATGAGGTATTTTACAATCAAAAGCAAGAATTATCCATGAGAAAATCTATTTCCTCAAGTGGAAGTGTTTGAGAATTTCTGATACAAGATCTGTTTTACAATATGTATGCTGTGATTTATCCCATCCAACAGTATCACACATCACATTTAAATAGCTTTTGCCCAAGCATTTTTTTAAATAAAAATTTTACCTATTATTGGGAATTGTTGCAGTGTTTTCCATACCAAAATCTCATTTAATACTTTTTTTATACCTTGCTTTCTAAGGAAAGAAGCTCATTGTTTCTCTTCACATGCATGTGTTTCTCTCTGCATTTCTACTAATTGTTGAACACATGAATTAATTTCAACTATAGTTTACAGAAGGGTGGAAGTCTGAAAGGTACTGACCTTCAACAAGTCCTGAGAAAATGAACAACAAGGAAGAGAAGGGTCCTTGTAAATGCTTCCGCAGAGAGAAAAAATGTCAATGTGAGCGTACACATTTATTAGACCTTAGGTCCCCATTCCTGGAAAATTAATTTTTAATTTCATGCTTAGAAGACTTTTTGGTTAAAAAATATTCTAACACCATGAGGGCTTAGATTTCATTTAGGGTAAAAGAATGTTCAATATCATTCAAAATTAAAGGTTGACAAAGCCTTACAACTTGGCTAGTACTGAATAACCCCTGGAAGCCAGAACATGACAAGTGTCTTAAAGACATCAATGAAGCGCAACCATCGAAATACTGAATTCTTTTCTCATTCCTTGTTCACTGTGTACCTCACATCCCACCCAGTAATTAGTACTGGCAGCTTCATATTGGTGCTTTTGTTTTTGCTCTTTAACTATGATGATATCATAAAAAGCATATACATTTCATTCTCTTTATTTTTTTGTTTGGCTCTGGGCCTGTAAGTACTAATACAAAATCAGTAATTGTACAGTAACAAGCCAAGGGCTTTGAAATGTACTTAGTAATAAAAAAGTATTCTTTTTCTTTTTTAAAGGCATTCAAGCGGAAAGAAATACGATAAACTGATGTGGATTTCTTTGGGCAGAGAGAAGTTTCCACAATTCTGATAACAGTTTCCTGACTTTGCAGAAAATTGCAGGGGCAGAAAAGTTGCTGCATTTTAGGTAAACAAATCACTTCCAGTGAAGTTTAGTGAAATCTCACCTGAGCTGTTCTGACTAAGTAGAATGGACTTTACTGTGCTCAGAAACCTTGTAGTTTTTTGCTAAACTGAAATCAGGTAGTTTCATGAAGGCAGTTTGTAATATGGAAAACCTGAAGATAGGAGTTAGTCCCACCATTACCAAATCTGAAACAATGGATTGACACAAGGATGGCAATATTTCACAGCACTCAGTGTTTTACTCTATTTTATATAGTTATGTGGAACGACACAGAGGCACATGACTCATGGTTATTTGTGCACCACAAATCATGGTGTTAGAAGTGCAACTATCTTAGCTTCTCCTAATAAATCTTTTCCTGTCACAGAGGTGCTTCAGGACATTTCCTGAGCCTTTGAGTTAAAAAAAGTAAATTAGTTGTAGAAGTGTTTGCAGAGAGAAAACCCCAACAGTCCCTGCCTTGATGCTGGTAGAGAATGACTTTATTTCTTCTGGCTATAGCAAATAGATTGCTGTGATGTTCAGAAGAGTTTTCAGAAACAACTGGGTACCTCCCTGTATCCTGCGTAGGCTGCAAAGCATCGGGGCACCACCTGAGAACAGGCAATTCTTGTTCATCTTACTCTTTTCCCTTCACTATATTTTTGGAAAGTTTCTTATATCTGGCTTTCTCTTACAGAACTTCCTGTGAAAATGGGAAAAGAATCCCCTGTGAAATCAGTAAGGCCTGGTTAGGAATACTGCATGGCCGCTGTATTTTACAGTAAAACCAAGACAGGAAAAGCGACAAACACACTAAGTTGTGATCCAGTAAAAAAGTCTTAAGGCAAACAGCTATCTTTGCTCTTTATTGAGAGTTGTTTCAAGAAGATACGTGGGAAGCTCTGGGGTCTCCTGCCTTTCATAAACACCAGATGCCCTTAAAAATCCATGCCATGAAAATGCTTTTCACTGTTAAATTATTAAAGTTGGATGCTTCATATAAGCACAGATTCAGTCATTTTCTTGTGCTTGTTAAATCTTTCTTCCTGCAAATGTAGCACTTGCTTTTTGGTGGCAGAATTAATTTTCCAAAAACTCACAAGGAAAACAGTTCATCTTATGGAAATTAAAATAAAGAAGAAATAGGTTCTTCAATAAATTTTCCTTTCCACATCTGACTTTCCTTGTCCAAAAATATTTAATAGAACATTACAGACATTCCCCATTAAATTAAAATTCATAGAAATCTTATATAAGGGCTATATTTGAATCCATTTTATGGGCCTAATGGTCTTTTTTCCTCATGTTTTTCTTAGTAACTGAAAGTTCTTTCTGTGGTATAAGCTGCCAAAACAGCAAACACAGAGAATTCCCCAGGGAATGCCATGCAAATTCCACTTCTCAGACTGGCTGCCATTTCATATTGATCACAGTCATGATGAAGTATTAATTTGTACACAGCTGAATGACTGTTTTTTTTTAAAAAAAACATCTAATTCAAATAGCCATGAAGCCTTGGCAGTGCTTAACAAAGATGAATTCTTCCTTCACTCTCCTGTGAACCAGCTGTTGGCAATAGCTGTATTACAGACAAGGAGAAAGATCTCCTAGGTCATTTAACTGAGGTCAGTACTGTCACAGAAAACCCTGTAATATAATTCACCTAATGAATTTATCAGTCTACACCTTAATAGTCAAACTTGTAGCTTTCACTTTCCAAATATAAGCTTATTTCAGAGCATCACTACCCTGACAGTTAGGGTCTTCCTCAATTAGTGCTAAATTCACTCATAGACAATTTATTCCCATTATTTCTTGTGTTAACATCGTTAACAATTTTAACAGGTTGTTTTTATGATACAGCGATTGTGAGGCTATTGGTATTACCCTAGATTGCTGTTCCGTAAGGTCAGCTTTAACCCCAATTTAGTATAGCTTTTTTTTTGCCATGAATACAAATACTAAGGAATTGACATTTTGCCAATTATACATTACAATCCTTTGAGATAAACTTAAGGCAGCCTGTGTTCTCAGGCATGGTAGAATCAATTCCACAATTTGTGGATTTCTGTTTAAGAAGTAGATGTGTTATCGTTGTCTACAAATCATATTCTAAATCAAACCTAAGAAGTGGAAGAAATTAGTAATGATGTCTTATTAGTAACATGAGTTTTATAGAGCTCATATTCTGTGAAGATGGGCCTTTCTGCTCTTGTCTGATGCAATGCATTGCAACACCATGTCAGATCAACCATTTTCCACTACAGTGCTCCATTGGGTTTAGGACCCACTTATTTCTTTTGTAACGAGCAGCTGAGAGAGGGGGTAGGCTATTTTTGTTTGAAAAGTCAGGTTTTGCACATTTGCAAAGCAAGATGTGACTTAGGAACTCTCTGCTTCTGTGCCCTGTAGCCATCAGAGCACCTGTGCCAGCATCACCTACCGAACATTTTTGCTGATGGATACTTGACAATGATGTTTTGGGTACATATTTAAGTGATCTTACTGATGAGGTCCGTGACTTAGAAATAGGAGAAGTAGGCTCTTTTAGGAGATCTATTTCTTCAGTCACCTTTTCTCAGTCTATTTAACTTTTTTTTGTCGTTGCGGGGCAGTGAGGGAAACCTGTCTCTCATTATCTAGTTGTACACTGGCCACCATCGGGGCCTTGATCTCAGCTGGGGCCTCAGGCACCACAGCAGTATAAATACTAATAGCACAGAGGAGTCCTTTGGTGAATATTTTTTGTTACAGATTTTGTAAGATGCTTTAAGGACTCATTTTCTATGAGCCTATTTTACAAATTTTACACATAAATCAAATAAATATGGCAGTAGGGAACAGACTTTAAAAGTAGAGAAGTCAGACGAGCATATGGCAAATATCCTGATGTTGCTCAGTTGTAGTATGTATCTATATGAGTACAATTAGAACAAAGCTTCTTTTTGAACTGCTTTGGTAGGAATTGCTTGTGAGTAATATGACCTCAGTGTGTGCAAGAACATTAGTATGAAATTATTCATCAATAAATCACTCGGCAAATAATTCTCTCTCTCTGACATCCTGATTCATAATTACCTTGCTGTCTTTTGTTTACTAATGGCAGCTAAATCCCCAATCAAATGCCAGGTAGGGAACATAGTGAAGAAAAAATACCTGTGGGAAGAGACTGTGCAAAGCGATCGCTGAAAGAAAGTTTGAGAGAGGCCAAACTGGAGGACGGTTTTAATGACTTTTCCCCTTCCTTTCAGCCCTCACTTTTCTGGATTTCAGGGATTCTCTTCTTCGCTGATTGGTTCTTTGTTGCTCTGTCTTTAGGGATGAGAGTGGTAGAATCTGTAGTGGCAGAAGATAAAAAGCACTTCATGGACCTTACTTTCTTCTTAGCTTTGCTTGAATTTGTATAAGCAGCCTTTTTCTGAGGTTCACTTGTGAAAATACTGGACTGCCAGGGGAGAGATGCACTTGAACAAAAGTTGGGGAAAGGATACTCAGGAGCAGTAATTTTATGAATGATGCTTCCTGCATACAACATCTTGTTTTTCTAACTTCATATCACATTGTGCCCTGAGGCAATATCACATCTGGCAGCTGCCAGCGTGCCTACCTTACCATTGGAACAGTCTAATGTCTTGAAGGGGGAAAATGCCCTAATCAGAAAGGCACAGCAGAGAAGCAATGATTTTAAATATGCTATTCTGTTCAGCTTTGCAGACCACAAAATCCTGGAGACAAAATGTTGCACAATTAAAGCAGCTGTGGCAAAAGTGCAGTCACTTTGGTTTGGGCCAAGCACATACTCAGTCATTACACTAATTTAAAAACAGCCCTGAGGATCTCAGGAAGCCCTTGACTTCAAAATATAAATGCGTTTCTTCTGCTTCCTAACCATATAGTATTAGTCAAATGAATTTATTATAATAAAAAGTCCCCCTTTTCCTCTCCAGAGAGTACAGAACTGCACCTTACATATCTGTTTGTTTCTTCTAAAAACCCCTAGGATGGGTGCCCTGTTTCTGTTGGTTTCTAGGCACCTTTCCACCTCAATCTGCCTTGCCAAAACCATCAGATATCTCTGTCATGTGAACTAGGCAGTGAGCCAGCAGGTCAGAGCTTACACAATTTGTGGCGCCTACTTAAAGTGTCTGAGATTCTTACCAATCAGTCTGAACCTGGGGGCAAAGTGTAATTCTTTCCTTCATGCCCGTGTTTATAAAATCACACAAAGGTAAAGTATGACACCGGTGGATTGCGTTGGCTTTTTATTTTCTTATATTGGGGAACTCGGAAAACTCCTGCATTTCTTTGACTACAGCTTTATCCCTGCTTTCTGGTAAAGATGCAAAGCAGCTTGTGTGACAGCTGTCAAAAAGAGCAGGTTGAGTTAAAAGAAGTTATCTCCAGAAGGAGTGTGCTTAAAGCAGATTACAGTGTCTAAGGGCCTTACCCAGGTTTTAATTACTTCTTTTTCAGGCAACATTTCACTTAGCTGAATTTGAGGATTTTTTTTTGTCACCTGAGGCTTTTTAGACATACTGCAATACACACTGGCTACATAGGATTTCATTGCAAATGTACACCTTCTTCCTAAGCACAAATGGTATTGTAATACTTTAATCAGTGTGAATGTGCAAAAACTGAGTCGGTCAAAAATTACCTGGGGGGAAGGAATTTAAAAAAAAAAAAAAAAGCAATTAATTCCCATTGCATTTTCTTTCTTCTTAACTGCAGGCTGAGGTCTCTTTGCACATAGTTTAACTGAGCTCCTCCTCAGAACATTGCTGCACCATTGCTGGTATGACCCAAACACACCCACACCCTCAGCCTGCTTCTTGACTGTCTTCCCAACCTGAATTTTTACACTTTCTACTGTTCAGTGCCTATCATCCCATTTACCAGTGGATTGAAAGCACAATAAAGATGAAAGTATAATCCTGCATGCCTATCATTTTCTGCCTCTTTGGTTTGAGATCGCAAGGGGAGACTGAAAGTAATATACTACTGATTATTCTATAATTTCCTTATGGCAGGAGCTAAATGGATCATACTGGATGTACATTACAATGCAAGAATCCGGCGTTTGCTGGTTAACAAGTGCTCCAGGCCCCAGGCATGTTTGAGCTGGCTTTTGGGGCAGGTGGTTTGCTGGGGCAGCAGGTTGCTGAGTGGCCCCAGCCCTGCTGCCTGCTTGCTTCTCTGTAGGTGCCAGGCTGCCACTCCAGTGGGGCTTGCAGCTTCACAAGCAACAGTGAGAAACACAACCAACTTGCCTTTTCTTTCAGGAGCTGAAACACATGGCTTGACTTTGTAAGGGTTTTTAGTTAGCGCCCCAATCCATAACACCTGCTTCCTCCAGGACAGCAGCTGCAAAGCATCAGTCTGCCCCTCTCTCCTCATCCCAGGAGCTGCAAAATTTAGTATTGCTGCCAGGTTAGGGAGCCCCAAGATATCCCAGGGTTCCCATCACTCAAGTCTCTGAATGGTTTCCTTTCCTCTTGTCCTCACCTAAAACGCATTGGGTAAAAGTGATTTGCCATCTAGCAATCACTTAGTAATTGGAACTTCAGATGCTGTATGTTACCATGCTCCTTTTACATATGCTCAATATATTTAATCATAAAAAGAGCTCACGTGTGGAAAACACATGCCTACTGTGGGTAGGCCAGCATTACAGCTCTGCGTCGAATAAGCTACCATGGATATACCCCACAGTTCCAGGAAACTCCTTCTTTAGGATACACACAAAACATGTAAACAAAGTTATAAAAATCAGCTGTGCTATTTTGCTTCCCTTCATGCTTCAGCTGTTGGTGTTTCTTTCACCCAGAAACAGATATTTCCCCAGGTTCCTAATAGTGTCGCTTATCCTTCAGGGATACATTTTTCCTCTGCAGTAGTGATTTGTACACCAGAGCTGCGTTACTATTAGGCCATGAGATGAAAGACACAGCAGACTTGTAATTGACTTTTTTGTTCACATATCTGCAGGAAAAGATCACACTTCTTCAGTTTTCTAGGAACACGCTTTTATGACTGGAAAAATACAGGGAGCAGGCTAAAGCTGGGCCTGCACAAGCCCAGCAGAGCCTAGCAGAGGCCTAGCAGAGTCAGTGTGTTGGAGTAGCTGCCAGGATGGTGTCAAAAGGGAGTAGCGTGGCCAGCACACGCCATGCAGAGGAGAAAGAGGTATTTAGAGGGATTCTGAGAATATAAAACAAGAAATGAAGCAGGCTGACATTCAGCTGGTAATTGCACAGCAGCATTAACACTTCTCGCCACCCCTTCTTCGGTCAGGGGCACTAGCCCCGCTGTGACTGCGAATACCTGAATCCAGCCTCCCTTCAGACTGCCATTCCCCCACCTTCGGATCAACTCGGAAATGATTTTCTTGTACAAAGGTGCTGTGCTGACACAGACACTGTGCCCTGAGGTATTTATGAGGAATTTACAGTCTAATTGATAAGGACTAAAGGGTGACTGGTGGAAATGCCAACTTGGTAGGCATCTCTGACCCTTGGATGGGACACAAAGTGTCAGTAACTGAGGGCTGGCTCCAGGCAGTTTCTGGGCCTCTCAATCCCTCGAGGATGGTCAGATTAGGAACATGAAGTTTTACCAGATACAAGAGTGTTTGGAGCCAGCAACGCAGGAAAAGACTTATGTCATCTCCTCTCATGTTTTTTTTACTCATACCCAAAACTATGAGGAAATACTCTTCTTCAAAAGAATATCTTGCATATCAATAACTAGCTTCATCCAAGATCTCAGAGGGCTCTATATACAGCCATTAAGTGCAATTCCTATCTCACTGGTGCCCATGGAGAAGCTGCTAACTGAACTCAGAAGAATACACCCAGGAGAACTGACCTCCAGCACTCTTTCTTAACCTGCAAATTACATTTTCCTTAAAAACAAATAAATGACCCTAAAAATCCCGAAGAAGCTTCAGTTACAGAAAGAACAACAAGAAGCACAGTCTTGGTTAGTGGCATCACAAACCCCCATACTCAGGCTGGAACTCTCAGAAACGTTCAAGAGCATTTGTGGAAATATAACTGTAACCATGTGGCTTTGGGAAGTCATGGCATGCCCAGCCCATTACTTGCTTCAGTAGGTGGGTGCAACTAGTTCATCAGTTATAAAACTAGCAAGCTGTCTGGGAAGCAGGGATGCGTGAATTCCTGGGAGTACAACATTTCTCCGATGTCTGATATTTCCTCTTTGCAGATATGATGATATCTGAGGCTGGAAGCCTGGAAAGTCTGGCAGATCATGCTGGCAAACTGGCAAAGTATGACAGTATTCTTTTGATTCTGAATGTAGATACCTTGATAGTGTGTAAGTGTTTTAATCTTGGGGCATATAGTAACTCAATGCATGAGAATGGGAAACCAGAAGAGAAGAAGCCAGACATATCTCTGTTTTGTTCCAGTTTTGCTGTCTTGGTGGCTGGAAGGGTTAGTAAAATTCGTTCCTTACAAGGCTGGCACAATTGCAATGAACAGTCTAGGACAGGAGCATGGAGAATCCCAAGTGGGAAAACAAAATCTGTCTACAGCAAATGATCTCATCCCAGACCAAGACTCCCTGGGATAATGTGTGCCCACCTGTTAGTGTTTCAGTGACTGACAAAGCACAATACTAAGTCTCTAGTGCGCAGTTTCCAAGAACTTGGGCTGCAGTTCAGTCAAAACTTAAAAAAAAAGAGTCTGCACATGTGAAGACTATTTAAGATGATGACCTGTCATTGCTAAAATTCCTGAAGAATGCAGGTAAGAAAACTTGCTTATCTCTGAGGTGTCCAAGTTTGCAGTCAGCCATGTGTGTGAGGTTTTTGCTTCCAGATCTATTACCAGTATTCTCAAGCTGTTTGAGTTTTTATGTATTTCTAGATGGCTCCCTATAAAAGAAATGTATGTATTTATGCAGCTTACAGTCCTGCGCACCTCCAGTTCTTCTGCTTCTAGAGTATGGTAGTAAAGCAGTTGTGAATTGCACGATGATGGAGGTATATGCCATAAAATAGATATGGGCTTGAAACAAGTCGTATGTCTCCATGCCTTTTTAAACAAGTAGTATGATAAACAATATGATTACATAGGTATTACAGGAACTTCAAGAAGCTGGGAACCTGTCTTACCTTTCCATCCTCAAGGGGAAAATAGAATGTTTGTAATAATTTTAATGCCACACCACAAACTCCCACCATTCTCAATTAGGAGGCTCACCTTGAGGACCAAATAAAAAAATATGAAAACCATCTACTGGGCCTGAAAGCTCCAAACAAGGTTTTGAAATACTTAAAGAAAGAGTCCAAACTGGTGTTATGACATCCCTGCCAGTGTCTTAATTTTTCTGATACCAGACTCACTCTTAAAATGAGTTTAGAGTTGAAGATAACTGAGTGTAAATGTCATGTTTAAATCACAGGTGGATACTCCCAGAGCCTGGAAATTCAACTATTTGCATAAGACTTATATAATAATTCCAAAATATTTTCCCCACTGCCTGGTCAATGAATCTTAGCACTAAGAAAAATAATAATGGTCTAATCTCACTGCTCCTCCAGCACCCTTGTCTGCTGAACCTGAGGACTTTCTCTTCATAACATTGGTGTTAGGTACAGGTTCCATTCTTGTTCTTTGATCTTACAAAACAACTCCTTATGATTACTATATTTTCTAATGAAGACTGCAATAAAATAGAATCATAGAATCATAGAATAGAATCATAGAATCATAGAATCATAGAATCGTTAGGGTTGGAAAGGACCTTAAGATCATCTAGTTCCAACCCCCCTGCCGTGGGTAGGGACACCTTACGCTAAATCATATCACCCAAGGCCTTGTCCAACCTGGCCTTGAACACTGCCAGGGATGGAGCATTCACAACCTCCCTGGGCAACCTATTCCAGTGCCTCAGCACCCTAACAGGAAAGTTCTGGTCTTTTTTTCCCTTTTTTTGTTATTTTTAACCACAAAATTTAATCAAAGCTTGACAAATAAAAGTCCAGCTTCTTGATCGATTCAAAATACGCTGATGATACAGAATGACCTAGTAGCAGATCTTAAAATGAATATACAATATTTCAAGCAATTTCCATGGTACAGGCTCCTTTTTAACGCAGGAAACCAGAAAAGAAGCAAAGTGAAATGAAATGGTCCCTTCATAGAAAGACTCCCATCTGAAAATTGTTTTAATTCAGGGCAGCCGTGGGTATAGTTTACATAATAAAAAACAGTTTTACTAAAGTGTCTGTGGTTATACTAACTCGGTGTAGAGCTCCTGATCAAAGCTGCCTTGCAGCCAAAGTCATCAGCAACCCGACAGCGTGCTTTCGTGAAAAGGACTTTCCTTCTCAGCTGGGATGGCTCAGACCCACTCCCAAGAAAAACAGAGCTAAGCAGAAATGAGGGTGTAAAATCAAGACACCTTTTCCACTGGTTCAGTATTATGTATTAAAGACCGGGAGAGCTTGGACGGAGATGTGCACATTTAGGAAAATAACTGAGCTTTCCACAATCTGCCAGAGTTATGGCTTGGCAGAGCTGGTGTGAGAAGCCATGGGATTGGGGACTGTCACTTCTCTGTTGAAAGCTCCGCTCCTGTAGTCCCTCGGCTTCACTTATCAGCTGCAGGGAGAGATAATGTTCAAGCGAAGTGGGCCTTGATCTCTGCCAAATATATTTTCAGAGCTGAGGAAATAAACCAAGAATGTATTCTCATGATCACAGAATTGATTCATTTAGCAAAATTTAAACAAGTAATTTTGTTTTCCCTTCTGTTATTTCACCAGTTCCAGTTCTAATCTGCAGTTTGTAGGAAGGAAAGTGCAATAGTGAAATCTTATGTTACAGTTACGTGAGAAAGAGAGACAAGGAGGGACAGACTATGGAGTCTGCAAAGCACTTCCCTAGGTGATCCAGGACTAAGCATATCGCAGCCCCCTAGGAGTCTTTTGTTTTTAGGTTGCCCCTTGTTTTTTTCATTTTCCCTCCCTCCCCTAGGTATGTCACTTCTAAACATCAACCAAATAACTTCTATGAGCAGAAAATGAAGCCGCTACAATCCGTGTTCTTTTGAACTAGGACCCAATTTGATTGGCGTCTCCTGACTTTCAGTAAACTGTGTTTTCTGAAGTGTGAGAGAGATCCCTGCAGCAATAATGTCCATATCAAATCATAATTAAAAACAGCAGTGAGGAATGTGCTGAGATTTGAACTGTAGACCTCCCAGGCCTAAAGCCCAAATTGCAAAACAGGACTTTAAAGGCTCATAGAAGCTTTAAACATCAGACATTTAATCACAACTAGTCTGTAGGGATGATTTCCAAAAAAAGAAACAAAATCGCTCCACCACAGAGAATAATAACAAGATCTGAGTGAATGTTGTAGCAAAGAGACAGTTTCTTCACAAAGGGGTTACACGCTGTGCGTCTACTTTTCCATTTACCAATGACAGCTTGAATGTTTTCAAAGACATCTGCAGTGGGAATCATATTGAGCTAAACCTGGGGGAGAGGGAAGTAGGCTCTGAAGCAAGAGTACAGTATGCTTGTGATCCAATGGCAGCTTGCCATGAGTGGGAGGGCTCCACCCAAAAGTATCAAAAATAAATTAACACACCTATCTTTTCTTAGACTTCTTGGAACCTATACAGGTACTTCTGTCAACATCCCTACTACAAGATCCACTTACCCCTAGCTAAGGTCAGCAGGAAGGTGAATGAATAAACAGGCTTAAGAAAGGTCTGTTATGCTGGGTCAGGCCAAAGAGCTGTCTAGCTCAGTATCCTGTCCCTAACAGCAGAGACCTAGGGAAGGCATGAGTAAAGGACAAGTGTAAATGAAGTGATCCTGCTCTTCTTTGAAAGGGGATATTTCTGGCTCACCGGTGAGACCAATATGTTGAAGAAAACCTACACTGAATAAATGTTTGAACTGCTGTTTTTCTCATGAACCAGAGTAGGACTTAAGTAATCTCAGGTACCTCTGATACCAGACCAGGACTGATCTAAAAATGTGGGATTCTGATGGTGGTGATGGAAGACAAATTAGCTGGGCACCGGATGGAGTGTTGCCCCTAGGTTGTGTATCTGCTTTACTGATAGAGGAGAGGCGCTGCTGGCACACCTTCCTGACCCACAGTATTGAACAATCCCAGATGCACTTCCTGATGGGTAAGCTGGCCAGCATGAATCAGCCTTATCCTTTATCTGTAGGTTCAGGAGGCACATAGCTAACCACTGGCTTTATGTTAATGAGCTGAGGGAGGAAGGACTTTAATTTCCATGTGGGTCATTGGATCTTTCTCAAAGTCCTGTTTATGTGTTTGATGACTAAACTGCACTGTGACGCTGAGCTTTTTTTGGTCTAATTCTTAACAAACCAATTCCTCTAATTTAAGACAGCGGCGATTTTATTGCATATTAGGAAAATGAGTTGAGCTTTGTGGGATTTCCTGGCCTTTTCACATGATATCTTAGTATTGCTGATGGGGACAGATTTTTGGCTGTCAGAGCTGTGTAGGTACACTGAAGTCAGTAGGTACCTGAGGAAGCTGTTGAAGAATATCAGAGACACTGGCGTCTAGAAATGTGGGAATTTGCAGAGAGAGATTTGAAGAGGGAGAGATTAAGCTTTCTTAAGTCTGAGGTCCATTGTAACAGAAGAGTTGTATTTCCCTGATCTTTCTACCAGCAGAGGTGGTGGGTGGAGAACAGATTTGATCATCTCAGGAAGACTCCCTGGTGCTAGTATTTGTCTTAGCATTTAAATGCACTGATGTTCCTACATTTAAGAGAGCTTTTTTCTGGTGGTGGCTGCAGTGGACATCTGCTGTCAAGGATTCCTACTGACTAAGGGAATGATACTAAGTCAGAACAAGAGTGTGAAAAATAGGACTATGCTGTCTCTTTTTGAGGAAACTGCCCTCTATGTCCAAAACCGTCATTCAATTTCTTAATTTCATGGCTTTTAAGATAAGCTTTTTCTTTCACAAGACCCAAAAGAAGACTGTATGTATGTATGTATGTATATATGCAAATACATGACAAAAACTTTGTGGTCAATGTCCACCTTTTTTCTGGGTATCAGCCTCACACTGCCAATCTTTCAAACCCTGAAGGACAGAGCACTATTTAGTTTGTACTTAATCATACAGTATTCACCACAAAGATAGTACTTAACAGAAAGAATTGGCTCTGGAGGGGTTCCTAAAAGAAACTGAATCCCCATCAATGGATGCTTGAAATCTGGAACACAGAGTTTGGAAGGAGAGACAAGGTCAATGCTGAATGGGGCTCCTTTTCAGTGTGTTGGTACATAAGATACAGGAGACAGAGCAGAAGTTACTTCCTGTGTTCCGTGAAATAAAGTTGCAGAATCTACAAATGGGAGATGCTGCTTCTTAGTCATTGTTAATGAAGCTGATGCTTTCCTCTTCACATGCTACAGCTCTAGCAACCTGTATGTGTTCAAAGCCAGCGCTTAACCACCTTTCAAACCCTGGAAACATCCTACATGAAAGGACCCACTGAAACTGGGACTAGAGGTGAAAAAAGGGACACACTTCTTCAGCTGGAAGAAGCCTTGCCTTCTGGCATGTCCCAGAAAGAGACACATTAAGTATGGAAGTTGTAACTCAGATTTGAAATCAAGCTCTAATAATCAACATGTACACCCTGCAAAAGCAGAGAGCATGAAACCAAAGATATCCTTATCCACATCATCTTTTCTGGCAACTCAGGCAGATCCAAGCACAGAGCTCAATGC